TTTTACGCAGACAATTTTATTCTCTTTACAATGGATTCTACATGCCATAAGGTGGCAGTCCTTTTTTGTCCTTATAAAAGGCTTTTTATACTTTTACCAGTTGAATTTTCCACTATCTTATTTTATAAAAATTCACTGAAATGTTTTAAGCAACAAGGAATGTCACATCCAAATTTCGTGAATGGCCAAGCACGGAGTCCAGCTGTTGGACCTGGCCCACAGGGGATTTCGGTACGTTTTTGGAAATCATTTTTCTTTCTCTTGAAATTTGAGAAAAACAAATATAGGAAGATACAGGAAGTATTTTTTTTTTTTCAAAATTCTCATACATCTGATGTTGATACTTCAGTTCTCGTTTTTGCAGCAGCAGGGAACACCAGGTCGACCATCTTCAACTGGAGGACCGCCGTCAAATAACCCTCAAACACCTCTGAATGCGATGTCAACCTTAAATCCATCATCTCAGCAAGTTTCTACGCCTGCAACTCCTCAACAAGCGCCATCTTCCGTACAGTCTACTACGACCCAGGACAATATATCAACACCTACTATAGTACCACCAGATCCTGTATCGTTAGCCAGGAACCTGTTACTGCGGGATCTTCGGTATTCACTGCAGGTGGGGCAGCAGTATTCCAAATAAATTGCGGAAAATAATTTTTAATTTGCCAATACTTGGAATTGTCTTACAATGTTCTTGCTAAATTTCGGCTTTAAAAGTTGGCTTTCAAACTTTCCCTTGATCGTTTAATCTGGATTTTCATGCCAAATTTTCTCTTTTATTGCATGATTTTTTCCGAGAAGTAACATTTTCCTTTCTGTTATTTGGTTGTTCAAATTTGACTTTAATTTGTTCAAAGGAATGGAGCAAAACGGCTGCTGAAGTGGTACGGCCTTCGAGTTTGCGACAACAGCAAGATGGATCCGGTAGTACGACGCATAATCCCATGTCTGTTAATCCGCAATCTGTCAATCCGCAATCAGTGAATCCGCAATCCGTGAATCCGTTGTCAGCCAATCCAAGTTCGGTAAAATCACTGGATGAACCGAAGTCGGTAGAAAATTTGGAGAAAAAGATTTTGAGTCCAAGCGAAGCATATATCAATGCATTTGATTATTTCCTCGGAACCTGTGATCAGATTGAAAATGATATCGTGAGTTTTGCTATGAATTTATGAATGTGCTTAATAGTTAAGGTGTGACCACAGATAAACATATGGTTAAAATTTTAGAATTGGAGAGGAATAGTAAGGAAGAATTGAGGACGATAGAGTATAAAAGAAATGAAAGAGAATGGAAAAATCCGGGATATACTTTAAAAACTCGTAGCGAAATCGTTCAACTTATTGTCTCTTATAATTACTCAAAGTATTCTATCTACATCTGAAAATTGCAGTTATGTTGCAAATTTATTTTATTAATCTTCACTTCACAGATGGTTGTGCAAGAAGCTCAGAAGCAGAGTGTCAAATTTGATAAAATGTTTGCTGGTGAACTGAAAATAGTTGGTGAAATGGCGAATGTAAATTATTCGCAGTATGCTCAAGGTTATGTGGAATCAACAGCAAGAGTTCGGAATGCGATCACTCGTACTTTGAAGAATCTTAATGCTACAATGGAACGAATGAATGCTGCGAAAACCGTTAGTTTTTAGGACAGTTATATATAATTTAACGATTCTTCCAAATCATTTGTTGTGAAGACGAAAGGCAGGTTAATATTTGTAAACAAAGTTTAGAGGCTTATTTATTCTATTTCGAAGTTTTCAGAGTTCCATATGGCAACCATGAAAGAGTGTTAGTTTTGTTTTAATTTTCGTATACAAAAAGCAAGCAGAGCCCTAGTTCTGTCGAAGTTGTGATTTTTTTCGTCTTCGAAATTCGTGAAGATTTTTTTGCAGGTTCAAAAAGATGTTGACGAGAAAATGGCGATGTAAATTTTTCAGCGTAAAGAACCTCCTACATTGAAGAATATATCTTTTAGTTCATTATATTTTATGAAATTTGAAATTTTGATTTTAGCAAGACTGTTGAGCTAATAATTGAATGCCAATATCAAGTTGCAGATTCGAATATTTCATTATGCGAATGTTGTACAGAAAATGTCTAAGGCGGTAATCTATTGTGGGAAATTTAGTTCCCTGTTTGCTAAACTTTTCAAGAATAGAAGACATTTTCAAAATTTCCTTTACTTTCTCAATACGTTCATGATGAAACATGCAAGAGTAACTCATATTTGTTGATAGTAATTAGCCCTCCTTATTTACTTTTCATTTTTCGAAAAAAAAAACGGTCATCATTTTCACTTTTGTGTTTGTGTATTTTAAAAGTTTTATCAGTTTGTGTTTACTTATTTATTTAGAATATACATAAAGTATTATATCGTTTCATTTGAGAAAAGAATGGAATTTCAAATAAATCTCATCACTGTTGTTTCAAACAATCCGCGTTTTTGTCCATTTGTTGTAACGCTTTGTACAGCAACCACAATCGTTCTTTTGCCTGCACTTCATTTTGATCTTTCTTTGGAATATTTTGTTTTGTTGATGTTGTTGTTGTTGTTGTTATTTCTTCTGTAATTATTTCTCGCGTATACTCCGGGGTATTTTTTATATTCATCTCCTTAGAATTGTTTCTTTCGGTTATTTCCATATTTCCAAACCTGAAAAGCAAAAAAAAAAAGAAGAAAGTTGTCTTGGAATCTCACAGTATTAAAAATGAAATAATTAATGACAATTTACTTTAGCTATTTGATGAAATTATATAAAAATTTATATGGGTGAGAAATCGAAAAATTTTTTTACCCTTTTGAACTTTTTTCACTCTTTTGAACTTCAGCTAGTTTATTGCTTTCCGTTGCTCTTACGATCGGGAATGATTTAGCTTCTGTGATTAGTTTATTTCGGAGTAAAAGTAACTGCCATATTGGTATTGGCCTTGTTGGCTGAATCTCTGACAATGGTCGGTTAATTTGCGAAGTTTCTTGCTGATTCTAAAATTTTCATTAAATTGTAACTTATTATTGCATTTTCATTTTGTGTGCAAAAGATTTCATATTTTCTTTCACTAATAATTTGTCAATTTGTCCTAAAATACCGAATGTTTACCATACTGAAACTATTACTACATCATCGACAAATTTACTTTTCAATAAAAATATAATAATACCTAAAAAATCAATCGATATGTTTATCTGTTATTCTGACAAACGCCACAAATAATTGAGCTTTCTTTTTTTTGTAAACGATTTTTCTTTTTATTTTCATCAAAACTGCAGAAAAAAAATCTCCACTGCAATATTGCAAAAGTAAATATGTATACACTATTATCGGTGATTAGATTTGAACTTGGTACTACATTATCACTTTCCCATTTTTCATTACTTCCATTAATGATTGTTGTATTCAGAATTCCATATTCTGTATCACATATTGCTGTTGCATAGCATCGTGAAATCATCTGTAGAAGACTGATACATTATGAATTTTTGATAATATAAAAATATGTTTGCTAAAATTCCAAACATTTAAAATAATTTAAAAAGTTAAAAATGATCCAACAATATATTCCATCGTTTAATCCATATTTTTTTTTCCAGTTCAAATATATCATGGAAAAGAATAAATTAATTTTCAAATTATATGCTTATCAGAAAAATCGATACCTTTTTACAACATGAATTGTATTGTAAAAATATCTCGGAGTAAATGAATTAAGTTCATAAAATATAAATTCATAGTGCAAAGGCTGTTTAAATTTGAATATTTGTTAAATAAATGATTCATTACATACATAAGAAATGCTAATTTTTAATGTTTTTAAGTGATGAAAATAACTTTCAAATTACAAATTTATGTTTTATGGATTTAAATTCAATTATTTCTGTGATATTTCTATAATATAAAAATATTTTAATCTTATTGACATATTTCTATACTATAAAAATACTTTTTTTTCCTTTTCTTTTTTATTTAAAAAAATGATAAACCTGACGAATGTAGATTTTAACTTTGTATGGATCATTTTGATATTGCATGAGGAATGAATTAAACGCGGAATTATTCTTGCAATATGTTGAATTAGCTATATCATTACATCGAAATTTCAATATTTCACCTAGAAAATTGATAATAATTAATGATAACAAAGATATCATTTTTAAGTTACTTGTTTTAATTACCATAATCATAGATATGTAAACATTATTTAGCATTAATAAAAATTGCAAATTAATTTATTAATTAACAACATATATTCTTATCATTTAGTAAGTCAATTCCATTGCCATAACTTTTCATGTACATCACAAATATCATATCAAATACACAAAAAGGAAAATTAAAAAAAAGAAATCATAAATTTTATCAGGTATCCTCCTAGCATACCAAACATTCAACAATAACAAATGAAAGCTAATCTTTAATTTTGGTATTAAAATGATATCAAATAATAGAGTAATATTTCTTTCACTAATAAGTAATTTTTATATTCATCAAAAAAGATGTGTGAAATATTTTTTAATTTAAATTATTGAATAACAGAAACCTTTTTCGTAGCAATAATTGAAGCAAATTGTACCAAAACCAATTTGTTGACAAACATCTTTTTGAGTTTCATAAATGTTTGCGCATTTTTTTTATCCTAAAAGGAAATAAATAAATAAAAACCTTTTTTTTGTAGTAAATAAAAAAAAGGTTGAAAGTTTGATATGACTTTGAAAAATTTTCCATTTGTGATGATTAACCTTAAAATTAGAGCCAAAAGGTTGATGAGTACCAGGACAAGGTGATATCCATGTTTTATCAAAATATGAAATAAGCCTATTCAATTTTTGGACATCCAAAATTTTAACATCTGTTGAATTTAAACTTGAAAATGATTCGCCAACATTAATTATTCGTTTCAGTGATTGTTCATTGTCTTGAATCAACTGACCTGTAAATTCTTTTGCATTTTAAAAGTAGTAAAAAGTGAATGTGAATAAAAAGTATTAAATTTTGTTGGGAATGGACAATTTTTTTTTGGTTTCAATATTAGTGTCAATAATTATAATAAGAACAATAGCAATTATTAG